GGAACATCTGCCCTGTGAGGGACAGCGCGCTCTCTGCTCCACCGTTCACTGGGAAAAGAGAGTTTCCAACAGCCAGGAACCCCTCCTGCCCAGCCTTGTGTAACGCTTAGCTATGAAACGGCAGCTTCTGTTGCAGAAAATTAAAGAGAGCATCTAATGGAGATGAAGAGACCCAGTGGAGGAGATTCAAGGTGATGGGCATTCATCCCTGTGGCCATTTTTCTTCAAGTGTTAGGGTATGGAGCATTGAGCCTTGAAACCTGTGTCTTTCTGTGGTTCACTTGTTTTTACCGCACCTTGTTGTCTTCGTGCTTTTCGGATGGATTATATCAAGAAGAAGCTGAAGCTGTGGTGAGACAACACTGGCCTAAGGATCTTACAGGGTTTTGTCACATGTCTTTTCTTTCTCCTGCCGCCCATTAGGACAGCCCTCTGGCTTCAGCGTCAAATGCATGACCTCCCGGATTATAAAAAAATAATTGTAAGTAATTAAATGCTTGTCTGAAGTTGAAAGAATTGGTGTCATCTTATGCAGAGAAGAAAATACTGAAAGGAGATGTGAGAGCCTTGAATCATGTGAGTGGGAAAAACGCAAGTGGGAAAGAAGTAAACTTTTCACTTTCTCAACAGTATTTAGAACAAGAAACCACAGGCTTAAAATGCAGCAAGGGAGAGTTAGGTCAGAATGGTTTTTTTCTTTTTTTGCTAGCAAAGCACCAAAATAGATTTCTGGGAGAGGATCTCCAGCACTGAGGGTTTCCAAGGGCAGATGAGGCAACCATCTGTGAGGCACCCTCGTCCTGCTGGGGGCCAGGGGAACGTGCTACTTGACCTCCAAGGACTGTTGCAGCCCAGTTTTCTGTGACTCCTCGCCGGCAAATAAAACGAAACTTTATTCTCATCATAGGTCTGTTTGGCTATCCAGACAAATTTTTCGTCATAGCAGAGGTCTGGTATCCATTGGCTCATGAAAGAAGTGCTACAAACTGCCAAGGAGTCTGGCTGCTAGTGGCATTGTCTGAACTGTCATGGCTTTTCATCGTAGGGCCTCCTGCTGATGGTGAGGGACTGTGTCCCTTGATTTTGCTGGTAAGCTCCTCGTGTAACCAGGTGATGACAGAGAACTGCTGAGAGATCTTGTTCCCAAAGGGAGAGGTTGGACTGCAATAACTGCACCTGCATCACCTTCCCTGTGCTGGACAACCACTGCTTGCTCCTCTGATCCTTAGAGGTGTTCATAACTGCCTCCATGGGACATTTGAGGAGCCGAGAGAGGACAGGCCTTTTCAGAGCCATGTCTGAATGGATACACGGGCCCATCTGGTGTAAGAGGCAGCGCAGTCGGAGGGAGAGAGAGCTGCGAGAGCCACAGAGTCATCCAACTAGCATGTTGTTGCCTTAGGCAGAAGAATGTATAGTACCTCCTTCAGGCTTGACTATCCTATAGGTGCCAGGGGAGATAAAACAGCCATCCTTTGTTCCTCCTCAGAAATGTGGCTGTTGTCTTCCAGTACAAGGGCAGGGAAGTAACTTGTCAGGGAGAAGGAGGTCTCTGCCTCCTCCGGAGCTCAGTCACTTTGCTTGAACTCTGGCGGTGGACACAGCTCTGGGAGTATCACTTGCTTTCACCTTAGCTTTCTGCAGTTTGTTTTAGGGCTTTCACTAAAGCTGCATTTGGTAAACATTTCATGGTTTGTTTGGTAACATGCGCTATATCCCTGTACTGAATGAATAAAGACAAGAGTGGGTGGAGGGGATCTTGGCTCATGCCTGTGCTGGTACTTCACTGTCTGTGTCTCACTTTGCTACAAAGGGGACAAGAAAAACATTTTGGTCCCAGAGCTGTGGAAACACGGATGCTGAAGGTTTCACACTGATCCCTGGGAGGTACCGGCGGAGTGTCGGCAGCCTGTGGGCTCGGGTCAGCGTGGGTGAGCGCAGCCGCTGTGCCCGCTTGCCTGCTGCTGCAGCTTTACTGGTGCCCTCTCCAGAGCAAGCAGCTGAGCTGGGACCTCTCTGCGGTTATGGGACCGCTGGTCCTTCCTGGGAGAGAGGGATGGTTACTGGGACCTGAGGAGGAACACAGGAATGCTTTGCAGATGCTCCTTCCCCATGGCTGAGGCTTGGTGAGCTTCTGTCATGCCTTTGAGAGACTGTCCCGGGCTTCCCACCAGCTGCTGCCCTGGGCCCTCCCCTGCCTGGGGCTGGTGCTGGTGCTAGTGGGGTGGCACTTAGCTCCTTGCAGAGGAGCACTGGTGTGTGCGTGGGGTGGCAGCAGGGTGGATCTGGCCCAGCACAGAGGAGTGCTTGCTCTGCCGGCAAGGAACCGCAGCACAAAGCTAAGTCATGCCCAGGACAGCAATGGGAGGCGAGAAGCTTTTCTACTGTTGGTCGCAAACTGGGCCCAAACCTGCCCTCAAGACTGGGCTTGAGACCACCCTGTGAACCGTGGAAACCTCTGTTGTCTCAGCTTAAGGCATGTGGGGGCTGAGCACACCCGAAAGCTGCGCTGGTCTCCCCTTCCTGGGGAGGGGGCTGCCAGTGGGCACCCTGAGCACAGGGCAAGCCAGAGGCCACAACAGTGGGCATGAGCGATGTGTGGAGGTGCGTGTTTTGATACTGCCCTCCACCTGGCTGATGTAACCACGGGCTGAGAGACGCACTCTCAGCCCCAGCCAGCTCACTAAGGTCCCCTCTGGGTTACTCAACTCTCTTCAGCTAAATGTTTCTCTCTTACATACTAACAGGCTCAAAGCTCAAAGCTTTCTTGACAGTCACTGTTGTTTTTGCAATGTCTGATGTTTGTTCATGATGTGTTGCAACAGGAGGTACTTGGACAGTCCTAAGTTCTATTTGGTGCCTGCTTGAAAAGTCAGCAATTTTTGTGAATGTGTGTCATGGAGCATTCAAATCTCGGGTTTTTGTGCTGTAGAGGATGTTTCGGTTCTGGAAAATGAGCTGACTGCGAGACCTAAGAAATAGCAGGAAGTGCTTGGCTCTGGTGATACTTGCTGCAGCCTTTCTAGGTTCTTCTTTCATAGACACATCTACCAGTGAGTCACACAAAATGAAGTGTTTTTCCCCATTCTTCTTGAGGGGGATGAGGTGAGAGGGCTGATGTGCTGGGTTGTGCTCTCTAAGGGCACTGCCTTGTCCTCCTCAATTGGAGGGATGCAGTTTATGCTGCCCTGGTGTCAGCAGGGTTCAGTTTTGCTTGGTGATGTGCTGCAGAGCCAGCGCTGCAGGAGTGGGAGGAAAGTGCAGCTCTGTGATCAAGGCAGGTCTGTAGCCGTGCTGTGGTCCTGCAGCGCTTGCCAGTTGTGCAGGCCGAGTAGGCACCCGAAAGAACAATGATTGGTTGTAGAGGAGATCCAACTCTTCTATTCCTGGCTTAATCTGCTTGACGTCAGTAGCCCTTGGTGCCCAGACTTGGCCTTTCTAGTAAAGTAGACGAGACCTGCTTGTGTCTCAGCCAGGCATTACCCAGTCCAGACGGAGTCTCTCTTGCTTCTGGCACAGGCAGTGCTGGAGCCAGCTAGATAATTTCATTTCTAAAATAAAACTTTCGGACTGTAAAAGGTCAGGTAGGAGACTATGGCTCGTTCAAATGTCTTTCTTGGGATCTTTGCCAAAATGAAGCTATGGGGAAGAGATACAGATTTTGTCCTTATTCTGCAACAAATCTTCAGGCTCTGATGTGGAGATAAGCCCCAGCTGGGATTGTGTTGCACATCAACTCCCTTCTCCATTCTGACAGACAGGGCATCATCTCCTCAGCCATGCTGAATCCTTGCAAAAGGCTTAAGAAAAGCTGGGTTTGTCTTTCAAACTTTAGTCCTCCATGGGGTGTGCTATGGGCAACGGGACGGAACAGAGCTCAGCTAGATTGGCAAGGTGCTCCACCAATGCTCCTTGCAGGTGCCAGCCATGCAGTGAGTGGGCTGACATGGCTGTCACCTTCTGATCCCCAAACTGGCTGATGGTCCCCCTGGGCCCAGAGGGACCCAGGGGCTTGTTCATGCACTGCGAGTGATAATGTAAGAGCTCTCACCTCAGCCTTTTGGATAAGATCAGTTTCTGGTAGCTACCAAGCTTGTGAAATCACCCTGCTGGGTTATCCTATCTCGTGCTGTGGGAAGAAAGATAAGGAGAGCACAAAAGGAGGCCCTGTGCCAATAAAGTGGCCTTCTGGCCTCCTCTCCCACCCTCATCTCAGAAGAGGGATGCCAAATCCAGCCTTCTCCTCACCCTCTCTCCCAGCAACGAGCTCCTTCCCTCCCTGCAGGTGGGAGTTGATGAAAGCATCTTTTCCCACCCTAGCAGTCGGGCTGCTGCCTTGAGCCATGGATCAGCAGAGGCCATGGGAGCTCTTCCCTCTCTCAGAGGTGCAGCTTCAGCCTTTACCCTTGCAGAGGCAGCCTGAGCCGCTGCTCGAGGGGCCTCTGATGCTCACCCCAAACTGAAATTTCTCTCTGCTCTGCTGCTGGAGAGGGGGAGAGCAGGTCTGCAGGCAGACGGTGGAGTCACTAGAAGGAAGGAAGCCACCCCTGCCATGTCTGTCCTGAAAGACCAGAAGGGACTCAACACCCTGACTGCCTCCCAGCTCCCCTTTGGAGGGGAGGATGGCAGTGAAAGTAAGAAACTGAGCAAAATTTTTCACCCTTTGTGCATTCTCCTGGCAGGGCAAAGGCAACCAACCTCCAGCCGGTTGAGGATGCGAACATACAGCCCCCTCACCAGAATTCTTCCTTCTTGGCAAGGGGGGGGGTTCTCTCTCCCCAAGAACAGGAGCCTTCCCAAAGCCCACAGCAGAGCAGCATGGCATGGCTGCTGCTCCCCTTGACCTTCTGCTGGGAGTGGGAAGGTGCAAAGGGGAGCTGTGTGGAGCAAGCGTGCCAGGAGCTACCTCACGTCAGGATCAGTACAGGCATCTCCCAGCTACTGCCCAGAGCTTCCTAGCTAGGATATGTGGCAGAGGGGGAGGGCAAGGACCAGCTGAACTGGCCCAGGGAACAAGCCAGGCTCTGTGTGTGTAGCGTGCTGGACAACAGGACAGGTAGAGATGGATGGGCAGGCACAGAAATGGCTGCTTGAAAATATGAGCTGGATGACCGGGAAGCAAGATTTGAGTCACGTAACTTTCTCGCATTCACAGTC